GTGTATGAATACTTATGAGCCCTGTACATGCTCGCAGACAATTGTCATTACACAGAATGACCTGGCGCTGGTGCGGCGGGCTTCGGCGGCAGCCTTCCCGACGTCTTCAAGACCCAAATCAAAGCCCAGTGAAAATGTAAACGACCACAAAAGATATCAGCTGCTACGAACCGGGTTGATTCACGAGGAGAGGATGAATAGGTCGGTTCCAAATTTCATTCCGAATTTGGATCGCAAGGACTGACATCACACGTTGCGATTTCGCAGCATGTCTATTACGTAGATACTGCCTGGGCTGGACGACAAATCCTGACTGCGTAGAGCACGTGTAGAGCCAAACCACACGAGAGCGCATCGGGTGTGACAAAGCCGGATGAGTATAGTAGTCCGTTGCATCCCAATTTGCCCTCCCTGCGGGGCAGATTTCTGAGCGGTTCCTGATGCTGCTGATGTACATCCGAGCCCGAGAGCAGTCAACAGGGCACCGGGTACGACGCGCAGATTGCATGACGGAACAGTTCAAGACGTAGCATCTGCATAATATTCTCTGGAGCTCGAACTTGAAGCAGCGCCGGCGCCAATCCAGGTCGCACTAAGCAGTGAAGCACTGAGAGAATGTGTGGCATACGTTTCGACTAGGAGGCAGATATATGGAGTACATATTCATGAGAAGAAAAAGGCGGTTATCCCACAAATGTCCCTTCTACGTGCGGCAAACTTGGGATCTATGTGTCGGCACCGAGCGGGCAGATAATGACCAGCGACGCATTATTACTGCCCGCGCGTCTCCGACCTGGGCCGCACAGGGGGACTTATCCTCCTGAACGGTCGCAGACGCGCGTTTGACGCATGTAGACGGGATTAGGGCTGCGCGCGGAGGACTACTCGTGGTGCTGCGGGGTCACGCTGGATTCCCCTAAGACAAAGAAACACGAGAGGACGAGAAAGCTGCGAGCCTGGATGAGCATGTAGCTCGAAGATGTGCGAGACGTACTGTGAGGCGTGGAGTTGGGTGCAGCACTGTATAGAGCCAGTGTTGCTTGCTGGGATCCGAGAGATCTCCTTCCGAGCAAGGTCGACATTCAACGCTATGACCTTGAGCTGCAAGTTTGTGAGTTAGTGACGTGAAGATGGGCAATTACGAATTTGTCGTACCTCGATCTCAGATCCTGCCGACTGGAGACGCTTCACGAGAGATTGCGCTGTTTGGGCGTCACCGCGCGGCCGGATCCACTTCTTCTCCACGTTTGCGGAATATTTCCGAGTGCGGATGTCTTCGAGAAATGCGACGCTCTCCTCCATGATGCTGAAACAGCGATGAGATGGACCCATGGCAATGAAATGGACACTCACGGGCCAAGAACGGTCTCGTAAATAACCAGTGCATCGCCACGGGATTGGGCGAGAAGTAATGAGGTGTGGGCGGCATCGACTTCGGCGGCGAGAGAATCGATGGCTCTCCGTCTCCGGCGCACGGCTTCTCGATGCTGGACCTGATAAGAATATCGAGCAGCTTATACTCTGAAAGGACGTACGCCGAGTAGGCCTCGAATCCCTTCAGCCCCTAGGGAGACCAGGCCTACGGGGTCAGCCATTCTGACCAGGCGAGGGACGGCCGGGAAAGCTGCGAGAGATCATATATAGCGCCAGTAGCGGGCTGTGCCCAAACGATTGCTGCTCCGGCACGTGTCGATCCATATAACAGACGCCGAGCGTACATTCCCGAAAGAAGCAGAGTAATGCCAGCGCCGAAGAGCAGTGACACGTTAAGAGCACCTGCACCGGGTTTGCAAGCCGATCTTCAGTCCAGGGATCGTTGGCCTTGACTGAGACTCAGACCATGCCGAGTACGCACGATTGTCGACCACACATTACCTTTGACGGACGAGGAGCAGGTCGGGCAGGATGACGTTTACGCTCGAGACCGCCATCAACAGTGGAGAGTCGACCTGGGAAGCGATGCGCATAGCCTCGATAGTAACAGGATCTGAGTTGGTGGAGCGAGGGCGCAGCGAGCGAGTTCGGTCCAGGTTGTCGATGTATTCTGATAGAGCACCCATAGAGCAAAAAGGGCGGCGACGGTGTCAGGATTTCCCCGGGTCCAAACACTCAGGCGTGCAGGCGCGCTCGCAATATGTCGGGGGTTTGCAAGTCTCGTTTCGGCCTGGATCAGACTTGGCCCCGACGCCGAAAGAAGGCACGAGCGCCTGCTGACTGAATAAATGCGAGACCTCCGCGACGCATGGTCGAAGTGCGAGAGCGGCCGCGTGGAGGAAGCGGACTCTTCGCAGCTCTAGAGCAAATGATTCCCACTGATACCTTTGGCACTCCGTCCTGCGCACGTCACGATGCGAACTTTATCCATCTTCGTGGATTTACGCAAAAGTAGATTCATGTAGAGACCCAGGGTGCGGCGCCAAGTTCGATGTGGCGGAAGGTGGTCAAGAAAGGGCCGGTTTATTCCGCACGTCTTCCTCCTCTCACCACAATGTAACTTTTCCCACCAGAAACTTCAGCACCAACACGCGACACATATGCGAACTGCTATACATCTTGTGTGTTTGCGCACGACACCATCTACACCATACTCGTCTTGGCACCTCAAACAGGAATCTGGTGCAAGTCGAATCGAACCTCCTACGCCCTGTAAACGCCAGCGCAGAATTGCGGCCGTCGTACTTGAACCTCCGGAGCCTGCGCCTCGTTGTACGCGCACTACACCCAGGTGGAATGGCGCCGCTGTGAGCTCAATTCGCTAGTAACTCTTTTTCTGGCGCTGACAGTCGCCCTCGCTTGGCGATCCTGCTGGTGACCAGTCAGAAGGGCGCTGGATACAGTAAAAGAACTACACACAACGTCGAATTTGCAGCTCAAAGTAGCGCCGGCAGCGGCGACACGGGCGCGATTGCAGCGTGTCACCCCGGAACCGGCGCTAACGCCTTCGCTTCTGTCTTCAAGGGCGACGGACCCGGGAACTCGTCACTGCACACGTACATCCCCGTGTGCCAGACACGTGTCCTATCGATGACTCGGAAGCTGTCGCTCTTCCTCGTGTTGACCTAAAACCCGGTAACCGCGCGGCTGCCGCACCCCGCACTTCCTCTCGCATCCCATCGTCGCCGCGGCGTTCTCGTACACCCCAAGGATGTTGTCCGATACACAGCAGCGGGAGTTCGCAGACCTTACGCTCGCGTTTGCGAAGCGCGTTTCGTGCGATATGGCACACGAGTACGTCCTGCTTAGCGCCCGATTGCCACTCAGTGCTCAGTGCTCACGACTCTCATTTTCCGTTCGAAGCTCCAACGGCGTTCTATACGACTACGAAGTTAGACTCTTCTTCAACTCGATGCGCTATGCGCTCACCACCGCCATGAACGACTTCGCACGAGAGCGGAACACGCGCTTGCCTGTGAACAAGCTGCCGCCCGAGGTCCTTCTCCTAATGGGCTCGTTTCTGCCGTACGGCGCACTCGACGCTGCTGCGCAGACGTGTCGTCGCTGGTGTACGATCCTACGCTCGGACGCGTCGCTCTGGGCTGACATCGTACTCGACTTCGACGGTCCCGGCTCGTGGCGCTCTGCAACTCGAAACGCTCTAGAGCGGTGTCAGAGCAAACCGCGCTCATTGGTTATACGGCTTTCATACTCGTGGTACGAGACATCTGCCGTCTCCGCTCTTATCAGCGAGTCCAGCATCATGCAGCATCTCGACCATCTCGGCATTTGGTTGTGCAAGGACATCGCGGCGAAGAAAGATTGGCATCCGCTCGTTACCTCTCCCGCGCCGGCTCTGCGAACGTTACTAGTCGGCACCATCTCGAACGACACTCCCCCGCCTCTACTACCCTCCAACCTCTTCGCCGGAAACTGCCCGAAGTTATACTCCATTTGGCTCAGCAACGTACTCTTCACCAACCCCTTCACACCGATGCCGCAGATTCTGGACTTTGCGTTCCTGGATTTTAAGGACGCGCCCATCACCGAAGTTTCCGCCGTCCTGGATGCATGTCCGGATCTTGTCTCGCTTACCGTCGACGCATCCGAAAGCTGCAGCGATTACATCCCTCCCCTCTTCGTCCCGCGCCCTATCCCGTTTTTACGACTCGGTTTCTGGGTCCCGTACGGTATACTCCACGAACTCGTGCAGGCCAGTACATCCAACTGCGAGCTCCGTATCCGGAAGAGTGGGATTATACAACTTCCGCTGACCGGATTCCGTCGTATTGAGCGAGTACACGTACTATTCGACGATGCGGGGGCTGGAACAGCTTCGTTGATCGTCCAAGGGGACGATAATTGCGTCAAGTCTGTCGAAGAGATGTCGTTCCGCAAACTCGTGGATCTGTTTAGCGACGGATCTGCTCTCAGACTGTGTAATATGACGCATCTCTCGCTGCCGGATTCTATGTGGGCTATCCTGCTCAGCACGACTTTCCTCGACGGAGACGTTGTGTGCTTGCAGAGTCTTACTGTCGGACTGTCGAACAAGCTGCTAGAACTCCCGGGTCCGTTCCCGCGGTTGTTCACGTCGTCCGAACACTCCACTACTCGAGCGTACAACCTTCGCGTACCGATAGTCCGCCTTTCGGCCTGGGGCTCGTCCGACTCTGTCGACCTCTCTATCGAGGCAGTCGCCGCTTGGCTTCCGACGAGTACCACCCGTTTGTTACTGAGCGGCGTTAACCTGACGGGAAGTAAATCGGCTATGCCGGACTCGATCATCGTGGAGAAGGAGTTCCCGTGGTGCAGCGGAGGGAATGAGCGGTATCTTCAGTGGAGACCTGCATGGTATGCCGAGTTCCCCCGCTCTGAGGCACTGGTCGTGTAGAATACAACGTCACCTCTTGGGTTTTTCGAGCGACACATATAAACGAATGCATAACTTCTAGCTTCAACGTGCGGTGCGGGCAAGTGAAAACTACAACCCAGAAGCGCGGTGTCGCAGGATCGCGACAGCGGACAAAAGAGGCACTGCCCCAATTAGCACCGGCATCAAAACACTCCCAGAGGCAGATTCGAACTGCCGATCTTCTGATTGCACATAACAGTCAGACGCTATAACCAACTGAGCCACCCGGGATGACTGCTACTGCTCCCATTACACTACATTGCAAGGTGTTCAATCTCTGCGTCTACGGGCCGCTCTCGGCGACGCTTGTCAGCTTTATTCAAAGACACGCTCGCTCTCTGGGCATGCGGTACCTGACCCAAATTGAGCTTGAACTATTGCCCTGAAACCTTGTTTCGGTGTACGAGTGGGAAAGCTGGAAATCCAAATTCCGGTATATATTTCTGAGTTACATAAAACACCATGCATGGCATCGAGTCTGCTTCGCATCACATAAAGCAGGTGGTAGACTAGGTCCAGCGCCCGTCGTCATACCTCCTCCTAGCAATGGACCTTCAGATGTTCTCCAACGAGAACATACGAAGGTACGCGGGACAAGATGATGTTCAAGAGAAGAGGGGGGCTCCGTATTCTTTGTAGTCGTGCGGGGTCACGCTGGATTCCCCACAGAAAAAGAAACAGGAGCAGAGCATGGATCTAGCTTATGCTTCAGCAGCTTGCCCGTAGATTATTGTTAGGATTGTCTGACTCACTGGGCGGCGAGAACTCGTAGCGCTTCTACTGAAGGTTCATTTGCAACGAGGCGAGAGATTTGCTCCTGTGAGCGTTGGATGTTCAACGCCATACATCGCAGCTACCAGGGCTATGCGTGAGACAGGGCAATCCACTCGGAGGAGCGTACGGCGTACCTCGACCTCAGACTGCGCCGATTGGAACCGTTTGACAAGAGCGGTCGCAGTTTCAGCATCGCCTCGCGGCCGGAAATACGACTTCTTGATCTGGGCAGCGTCTTTACGAGTGCGGATGCGTTCCAAGAATAAGACGCTCTCATCGATGAGCCTGCGCCGTGACACTGTAAGTATCTATCCATACTACAGCGTGGGCGACTAACGGTGAAATGACGTCCTTATAGGCGGTTGATGCGATGTCATCGCTCTCAAAGCTGAGGAGTTTGGAGTGCGCGGCTTCGAGTTCTTCTGCTAGACTCTCAATGGCTCGCTTGCGAGCACGAATGGCTGCTCGATGCTGTAAGTTCAGGATCTATCAGTCAGTACTGTGGATAGCTCCGTGTGAAGGACGCACGTCGAGCAGCCGTCGTACCCCGTCCGCGCCGAGGGAGACCAGACCCACTGGGTCAGCCATCCCCGTCGGCGAGATGATTCGAGTACTGAGAGCCAAGCTAGTCAGTGGGCCTGTGTCGAGGACAGGTCATCTATATATACGGACCCAGCTAAGCGAGTCCTGTGCCGGGGATTTGCTGTCAGACAATTGCTGCCAGGTAAACGCGTGCATGCACACCGGAATGAGAAGCTCAAATGCTCCGGCAGCAGTTGTCTCGGGTTATGTCACGAGCGGGGACCGCGGGGAGGGGGTATAGGATAGGGATTGAGTGAGCTGATAATGGCGGCCTGTTGACTCGGACACCCAGGATCATCGACGGCTGAGCGGACGACTGAGAGATAGCCGCAATGGGATATGCAGACATCCCGTGAACATCATCGAATTATTATCGCGCGGCAGGATATTTTATACACAGCCTACAGAACAGCCTCGCGAAATCATCGAACTTGGGAAGGAAGTGAAGTGGAGCAGTTGAAAGCAAAAAAAAAAGAACTGCAACAGGTGCCCTTGTCAGCCTTACCGTTTCACGCGAATACGCGACGGCGTACCTTTACAGAGTGGGCGGAAGGCAATGGTGGCATAGCTCGCACTTCCCGCTCCCAATCCATAGCATCAAGTCGCGAAGATAGCGCAACATCCCCGCCTTGACGGGATCATCCGGATAGCGACCCGCATCCACGCAGATCTGCACGCTGCGAGACGTCGTAGCGATGCTATGAAGTATGTACGACAAGGTCTTCTGCACTTCTCTATCGCGACTGTAGCAACCGTTGCCGGCGTAGATCACGGAGAGCATAGGAAGAGTCATGAGCGGCAGGTCTGCTACGGCGCCGGGCGTCCAGATATTCGGCGCGAGCTTTAGAGTGACTGGGTTCCTGGGTGGGTACGTGGCGAGAGCGGTGGCGAGTGGAACCCAAGTGTTGGCGCAAACGTAGAATGCGCGCACAGTGTTGTCGATAGATAGGTTCTGCGCCAACATCTTCCACAGAGCGGGGAAGTTTAGCTGTGAAGTTTGGTATACAAGACGTCGTTCGTGGCCCGCCTCGCCGACGAGGAGAATCGAGGTGAAGTGGATGTCGCCCTCAACGATAGACAAGATCGCGACGTTGATGATTGAACGAACGTTGCGCATGACGCTCGCGAGCAGAGGGTGGAGTGAGCCGTTTGTGGGAGCATTGACGCTGTGCATTCTAGGGATCGCAACGCTGATTCTCGATAGACGCGCGCCATCGAGGCTGTCAAGGATTCTGCGGACGTCGCGAGGATCCATATTGAGGTCAAGCGCAGTGAGATGCAGAGTCTTTACAAGCATCGGTGGCTCGGATAGTGCTGCCGCGCCGTTGGGAACCACCAGAATCAGTTTCTCTAACCGCCTGCAGTGGGAGAGGATGGTGTAGATGACGCGTGACGTCAGAGGGCAACCACACAGGCGAATAGTCCGCAAGCCGGCTAGAGCGCCCAGATCCCACTTGTCAAGTCGGACGTACGTGAGGTCCAACTGGCGTAAAGACCCGGAAGTCAATGACACGACGGCGCCGACGAATACTTTGCCTGGCGCAGAAAACACCTTGAAGTCTTCCAGACGCGGAAAACGAACACGGCGAAGCTGGACGCGGTCGCCCGTGTTGAACGACCACGCATAATAAAGATGCAGTTGACGGATACGAGCAGCGTAAGGGAGCAGGTAGAAGAGTGAAGTCGTAGAAGATACGCCGTCGTTGGGCGGATCTCCCTCCGAGGGCACGCGAAGCGACTCGACAGCAAGACCGGCGATAAACAGGTCGCACGTGCGACTGCGTTGAAGAAAAAGGTTGATGTAGCGCAAATCAAAAGTTCTGTGCGAAGGCGCGAAAGAAAATGACGCCCACAGTTGCGCGTTGCGTAGAGCGCTGGCGCGCCACCATTGCGAGACCTGAGACATGTGAATTTTGTCCACTGGGTCATATGGCGCGGCCAGAAGCATTATGTGGGAGAGCAAGTCATCTGCAAGCGTCGCCGCAGCCGACTCGGCGCTCATAGTGCGCGATAGCGAGGCTGGATTGACGGGACGAACTGGAAGTTGTGGAACGGGACGAAGAGGCGGAAACTGTTCGGCGCCAACCGTTCGCCTCTTACGGGCTCCTCAGCTGATAGGGCTGTCCTTGCGCATATTAGTTCATAGTAATGTAATGTCTGCGAAGTTACAGAAAAAAAATGGTAATGGTCATTCGACTTTCGTCCCGTCCTGAGCGCCCATACGTTCGGTAACAGACTGTCTGAGTTTCACGGGTCCAGTGCGCGCCTTGCTCTTTCCACCATCATCTCCACGTCCAGATCGCGCCGACACCACGCCCATCCCAGATCTCGAAGGCGCCATGTGTGCGTGTCCATCTACCGTCAATCGTCGCATAACTGATCATGTACGATATACAGCGACCCCCAGAAAATTCGAGTTCTTTCCGATGCGCAATTGTCGGTCGGCAATGCGAATGTCTAGTATCTGAGCTCATGGCTCGTGTAGTTCCGGATCCTGCGCCGATGTTCACGCACCAGCCTGAGCCGCCTCCAATGCCGCCCGAGGTACTCGACACCGACTTTAAGCAGAAATACCCCCCAGACCCGCAGTTCGGGCAAGAGTTGGACGCCAACGCCCGTGTCTGGAAGGTCTATCGCGACGAGGCGATTCAACACGACGACGGGATGCTACAGGCGTGGAATAATACAATCAACATCCTTCTTACCTTCGTGCGTATTCAGCAAAGTAATGATAATCTGCTTATAGCCAGCAGTCTGGTCTCTTTTCAGCTGCTGTAACGGCATTTGTTGTTGAAAGTTACCAGTTCCTTCAGTCTGGGCCCGTGGACCTGGGCTCAGTATCGGACGTTCTTGCAGTAAACGACACATCCGCCATCCGCTCTTTCGCTGCATCGGCAGGACAGCCGTCATCGACTGCGCTCTTCATAAACGGCTTGTGGTTCACAAGCCTATTCCTCTCACTGGCCACGGCTTTCCTCTGCATCCTCGTCAAACAGTGGCTTGACGAATACACTACTCGGACCAGAGCGTCGTCGCAGAATCCCAGGCACTGGTCACGGCGCCGCGCGTTCTATTTCCGCGCTCTGAACGATTGGGCCGTCGCGGGAATTATTTCCGTTCTTCCTGTGCTGCTGCACGCTGCTTTGTTTCTGTTTTTCGCCGGGATGGTTGTTCTACTATCGTCGCTCAATCGGGCTCTTGCTGTCTGGCTTTCAGTTCTTGCCGGTACGCTACTGTTTCTGTATGGGATCACTTTGTGCCTTCCGCTCTGGCATAGTGCATGTCCATTTGCTACGCCGCTGGTGACACATGTCCGAAGAGCCTGGATTCTCTGTCGAATTTGGGTCCTTTCCAGCGGTATGGTTCGGTCACTGCGTATCTGGATACGGGACCGCATTTCCATGCTTGTGCGTCGTTGCTCCGCCATCTCCCAGCGCACTAGAAGCTCGTCTACCGCGCTCGTCTCCGACAACTTACCCTATTACGCTGAACACACCACGATGCCCTCGTATATTGGAGCTGAAGATAGCGACTCCGATAGACGCGAAGCTCAGTATTTGCGGGAGCAACTTGGACGGTCCGCTTTCGACCAGAGGCTATCCGTCTCTCCACGTGCCGCTGTAGGCAGTGATTCAGATGGGCCATCGCCCAACCTGGAAGATCGGCTTGATTGCGACGCGTTGTCCTGGTTGATGCTCTTTGTCTCTGATAGTGATGCAAGCGCCGCTGCGTTTCAGGCACTCGGGGCTGTCACTCCGTGTTCACCCTTGGCCACTCTTCTACGAGCGAGGCAATCACGTCGCGGCTCGTTGAGAGGTTCTCGGCTGTTGGCCGGAGCTGGAGACCGTAGTGCTACAGAGGCCGCACGTGTCATC